ACGGATTTCCAAGTTTTACCTCGTTTCCGTGGGGATTATCTTGCCGGGGGTATAATAGATACGCTTTAGCGGGCTGCTCCAACGTGTCTTTCCGTGTTTTGCGGTTTGCTCGAGCCGGCTGATCAGAGAGGAGGGAAGTTTCGTAATGGGGGGATGAACCTATCGTGCGTTGCGCTCGCGATCGGATCGTTAATTAAGTAATAGTGTGTGTTTTTTATCGTTGTCGTGATTGACAGGGGTACAGGTCGATGATGGATTCTGGAAAATTAATTCATTGGGATGGGGGGAAGATGTGATGAAATAAGGATTCGCTGCGATTTGTTCGAGGTAGCGAAGCAGTTTTTGAATTATTTCACTCTCGTTGCAAGTATATATTTTTCAATTATACGTGTAAAAACTGTCAATTGTGATATTGAATGAACGAAATGAGTCTTTAGATTGTCGTTTATACTTGTAAAAAATTTGAATTCGGTGTAAAATCTTATGGTAAATTGTTTCTTGTTGCGTTTCTTATTGTGCGTTGATGCAAAGATGAGGCGAAATTGTTCCGATTTTTTTTCGATTTCGTCGAATTTCATTGGAGATACGTATGGACGGCGAACCGTCTCATAAATTCCGTCAGTCGTTTCTGCATCCGCAGTGGCTCGCATAATTTATCATCGATTATAACGATGCACAGTTTAACGCGTCCTTATTAATCAATTCTCTGGCTATTTATTACGCGACCGGCCAATTTGTAATCGTCGCTAATTCACCCATTATTCAATTCTATAAATCGCCTGCCCGTCAAGGAAACGAAGTATCGACACTTCCCTCCTCCTCGATATTTATCTGACGAAGAAGTACCGACTCTTGCGAACTATTCCTCTTCTCTGAGAAATTCTTCTTTCAATCACGAGAATTTCTCAAAACTCAAATTCTGAATTCGTGTTCGTCTCTGAACTCGAGAAAATAACTCGAAACTGAACTATTTTACTCGACTTGATGACTTGGCTTGGTTAAGAAACTCGTAAACGGAACGCGAATTTCACAGGTTGCGTTCCAAGATTCAAATTTCTCTTCCGGATCGCGTTGACCCCTTAAACGACACCTCCAAGTTGCTTCCCCGGCGCATCCTCGACATACTTTCTCGCCAGTTGCCGCGTCTGCAATTAACCTCCTCCTCCTCCTTCTCTCCCTCCAGAAGCTCCAAAATGAATGGCCGGCCACCACGGTATTGCGCTCGTAGCTTCGTGTGTCTTAACCCTCTTCGAGGAGGGTCGGAAAATCGCATCAGGAACAAGTTCACGGATTTACACGTCTCACCAACAACGTTACATCCAATTTTCCTCGTTACCCTTTCATCGCTAAACTTCGATTAAACGTTAATCTCGACCGTGTGGAGAAGTATTGGTCGCAATTTTAACTGTGAAGTGCTATCACGAGACTCGAAGATAAAAAGTATTTGAAGCTGCGATCATATGGTTCGTTTATTAAAGGAAATTTCTCTCTTTCTCTCTCTCTTTAGAGATTTTTGCGAATCGTTCGAAGGTCCAGCCTAGATAAGAATCTGACGATCCATCGAGATATCATCGATCCTTTTGTTCTTGCCTCGATAGTCGAGAGAGAGAGAGAGAGAGAGGCGATGGCGTATAGGCTTAATCGTTGCGATATGGCGGGCTGGTGAGTTGTAGGGTGGCTCGTGAATTCGAACGATTGTGGATACAGGTGGATGCCGTGAGATATCGCGATTGTCCTTTGCTGTATCGTGTACGTTTGTTTGCCCATTTGTATTTTTGCGTTTGGAATTTCGTGTCCCTTTTGTTTCTATTGCAATTGCAATTACAATTGGTTGGAAATTTTACTTTTCTTTTTTACAATCGCGTTTCGTATCCTCGAGTGCAAATTTTCTTCCATTTCATTTTGAAGATTTTCCGCTCGTTAATCATTAATTATTAATTAATAAAATCGAATCGATACGATTATCCAATACGGCGTATCACATTTCAAATTCCATTGAAGTCACAATCGGAAAAGAAAAAGATATCTCAAACAGGGATCCACATTAGAAATCCACCTCTCGTATGAAGTCATTATCGACTACCTTTACAAGACCACGACTACCACCAATCTCCTCGATCATAACCATCCACGGGGGACGGAGGAACACGAGTACACCGATCGTTTTACAGCCTCTTACAGCCTCATCCACGCCACGAGAGAAGACAACGAGAATCGCAACCAAGCTATATTACGATATTATCCATCAGCCCGACAAGATCCTCGAGGAAATAATTCGACCCGTCTGTGAAAAGAATCCCGCTTTCCACCAATCAACGGGAGCCTGGAACGATTATCGCGGGAGGGGAAAGGGGGTCCACGAAACGATTCCTCCGTGTATCTTTCACGAGCTGCGCGGAATGCGGCCTCTCTAGCCGTTATAGCCGTCCAGATATCCCACTAACGAGGGACGCGCGCTTGTAGTGTGATTAAACCGCGCTATAACGCAGCGGGACGGCCGTGGGTCGACCGGCCGCAATATGGGAAATTAAGGAATCGGCCACGCGGGAGGCGTTCGAGGAGACCGCGGCGCGAACCGAGGGATGCGCGTGGACCAACCAGCCTCTTCCCTCGCGTGCAAATTGCGTCGTTATAAGCGAATCTACCGTTCGATTATTCCTCGCGAAATCGGGAATTACGCGCGTGTCGGCCATCAGAAGAGAGCCGAGAGAAGAAGAAGAAGAAGAAGAAGAAGAAGAAGGAAGGTATCTGGTGTCTGGTGATGGAGACGTTCCTACTTCGAGGTTGAGATTTTTCTCTCGTTTGGATTGGAGATTTTCAAGGAGATGCGAGTCGTATCACGGGAAATATTGCGTAAATGAAATTATTGTGCGTGAATTCGGATCAAAATTTGAATACGCGTGAACATGTTTCGTCCCGCGAGTTTAAATTTCCCGCCTGTCTTTTTATACGGATAAAATTTTTTCGAAAATTCTGTCGATCGTTCACATTCACGTGTTCCACTTCTCGTTTATTACTCGCGTGGAAAATGTACGATGAAATAAAGAAACCGAGGCGGAATCGCGGTTGCGATCGTTTGAAAATTATTTGCATACCATTGTCGGTGCCCCCTCCCTCCCCCTCGTCAATTCCTCGAGTTCCTTCGGGAGGGTAGAACGAACAAATCCCGCGAACAAATGGGAGGTATGGAATTCGCGGCAGAAAAACACGAGTCCGAGGAAACGGAAGAGCCGTGGGATGGATAAAGAGTAGGAGGGGGGGAGGGAGGGGCAGAAGAAACATTCGCAATAATCGTGATTTACGATAGGGTTGAGAACGAAGCAAACCTCGTCGAGGCGACCGCGTTATATAGAATTTGCTGTTCGTCGAATGGAACGGCGATAAACATCGCATTCTGATTAATTATCGATTATTTATTCTTATTATCGTTTGAAAAATTTATGAAAAAAAAAAAAAAATATGTATATATTCAAGCGAGTTAAATTACTATTATTTGGAATATATTTAATTTTAATTCCATTCCTCGAGATTTCGAGGTCGGGTAATCTAATTTAATTTAAAATTTCAAGCTGATTCAATTCAACTCCGAGCTTATGATAATTATCGTAGGTAATTACGATCTGAAGAAATTTCTAATCTCTTGTAATTTTATACATTTTTTTCTTTTTTTTTAAATTCCAATCTTTCCAATCTACATCTATCTCCGATGGAAAGAAGCCATGGAAGAAACAATTTCTCGCGAAATAAATCACGAGATATTTGAAATTACTTTCTCGCGCATCCATCCATCCATATTATCGCAATCTCTAGCACCTCATCCATACACACCGCCGCCATTTATCAACAGAGAGTGAACAATTACCCGCATTCTCAAAAGGATTTTCTCTCTCTCTCTCTCTCTCTCTCTCTCTCTCTCTCTCTCTCTCTCTAGAAAACTCGATCCAACATCACCGATCTGTTAAAAGGTATTCCACGAGCAATAAATAACCATACACACGTGCAAAATATCGAGAAATAAATTCTAGATTCGGCATAAGAAAGGATTAGAAGAGCGTTTGGCAATGGCTAAGATTTAGAGATGACTCTCCTCTCGATCTCTCTCTATCTCTCTCTGTCTCTCTTGCTTTTCGTTCTTCTTGTATTGATGCCCGAGGGTAGGACGCAATCAGTGGCCTTGATTTATCGCGGCAATATACATTAAGATACCGACATTAAAACTAGGGGAGCCTCCCGTGGATTCCTGGCTCCATTACCGCTTACGAAAAGAGAGAGGAGCTGTCGTCGCCCGAAACGGTTTAGTCTATGCTGACGCACGAAGATTGAATCCCAGTTTCGATGTCCCCCCCCTCCTTCTTCTCTCCCTCCCTCCTTTGAATGAATCGTTGACGTCGCATGTGCTTCCGATCCTCGTCCGTTTCCAGATATTAGAGATCCCTGTGGTATGAATTTTCGTTACAGGAAGACGAATTTCTATCTGTGAAGGTGACATGAACGCGTCCATATATAGTCGATATCACGAGGAATTTTTTTATAATTTGTACTATTATCTTTTGAAATAAATCGATTGATGTCGACTATTCACCATTTAACACAGCTCGTTGGTTCCTACTTTTTAAACGAAGATCACGAAAGAAGATCACGAAAGTTGAAATCAGTTATTGTATTTTCGAAATTTAACACGCTTCTATCTACTTAAACTTGCCTTATTATATCTACCTTTCAAACAATAATAACATCGTCCAGAAATGTAATTTTTCGAACAATCAAAGGAAAAATTATATTTCTCTCAACCATCTATCTATCTGTCTCGAAAACAAAACTTTCCAAAACGATTCGCTCTCTTTTGCACGATCTTCGACAAACGAAACGCTCGAAACATCGTTCGATCTCGTTCGAAGAACGGGACGAATTCGAACGATGTCACACGAACGGAACCGACGAGCTTTTCCAATACCACCCCGCCGATTACAGGACAGTGATCTAACCGTAGTAACGCGTAGTATTTCCGCCATTGTCCGCAGGTCCTAGCGGGGCGTACAGTCCCGACCCGACGATGGGCTACATGATGGACGGACAGGCGGCGAGCATGATGCACCGGCCGCCCGGTGATCCCACCTTCCACAATCAGTACCATTACCCGGAGTACTATGGACATCACTTATAAAGGTACGTGGGAAAAGTAGCCCTCTCTTCCCCTTTCGGTTGCGCGAGGTCACGTTCGACCACGAACGGGTTGCGCGGGGCGGGACCCCGTTCATTTGATAATCGTGGCGCGGTGACGAGCGACGATGACGATGGAAAGATTGATGGCCGGAAACGAAGATCGAACGGATGGTTAAATTGGTGAACGTCGATGAAAATGCGGGTTTCGGGGGAGGAGTCGAGTTCGTGATATCTTCGTCCCTTCTCTGCAATTATCACGCGATGGACTTGAACTTTATTATTATTATTACTCCGTCTATTATTCTTGGATCCATTTCGATCGGAAGGATTATTTCAGTCTTGCAAATTTTGGAAAATTTTCGTTTCGTGCGTTTGAAAATTCTCGTAAAAAAAGAAAGAAACGAAATGGATCCAATTATGCTATAAGAAACGGAAAAAAAAAAGGAAAGAAAGAAAAAGGGAGCAAAAGCCGACATAATACCGTGGAAATTACCGTGGTCAGTCTTCGAGACTTCCGGGTGGCGAACGATCGGTGGCAAGAAAATTACACCGAGTCGAAGGGAGTCGTAATTTCTTTCCATCGTCCTCGAAAGCAGAGCGGGAAACGGTGGTGGCCCATTATTAATACGAGGCGATCTGTCACGTTCCAGCAGTAGTCGCAAATGAAGGTAGACGATGGAATGACGGTTCTTGCGGAACGGGAAACGTAGCAGCGTGACGGAAGCGCAGCGTGCTCCGGTTGGCGTTAGAGCGGCAAGGTGCAACGGGGGCAACGAGGAAGCGATTCGCGTCGCCTCCGGCTCGTGATCGACGCGAAAGAGGCGAGGAAGAGGAGGAGGATATTTCTCGAGCCGCGTCGCGGTCTCGTCGATGGAGGATGGTGCTCGAGAGCCAGGAGCGCACGATGCGGACAATCGAGGCGGAAAAGCACGGCCGTCGGTCCGATTCTGGAGGAGGTGAAAGAAGAAGGGAGAAGAAAAAGGGAGGGAGAAATCGTGGTTTCGAGGTTCGATGGACCTGCGAGCCTTCTTCCTTCGATGAAGAGGAAAAACTTGGAGGAGCGACTCGGGGTGTGGACCGACCGAGAGGCAGGCTTGTGTTGGTACGCGTGGAACCGGAAGCAAGATGGAGGAGGGAAGAAGAAGGAAGAGGGAAGTTGGAAGAGGGCGCGGCTTGGTACAAGAGGGGAGGAACGGAGGAGCCGCGAGGAAGGGAAAATTCATGTGATTGTTCTGTGTACAAATGTCGCGGTGTAATATTGTAGTGATCGAAGAATTTAAATGTTAAATTTTAATACACGGTCGCGATCGAGCTATTATTAATTAAAACGATTATTATTAGGAGGAAGAGGAGGAGGAGGAGGAGGAGGAGGAGGAGGAGGAGGAGGAGGAGAATTAACGACGAGGTAACCTCGAACAGAGTGATATAGGCAATTTCTAGCGGGCATGTGTACATTAAAGGGGTGGTAAAAACGTAAAAAAATTAATATTAATAATAATAATAATAATAACGATACAAATAAAGATAAGGTTAAAAAAAAAATGTAAAACGAAAGTGGTAGAGGGAAGAATTGCGAGAAGAGAGAGAGAGAGAGAGAGAGTGAGTGAGAGGGTGGAAAAAAGTAAAAAATAAAAAAGCGAACCCGGTGCTCGCACGGATCCGTTATACGATAATAGATAGGTGTTCACGTGCTTACGAGAATCGACGAGAAATAATGGAGATTTTCTAGAGAAAAAGTGCACGACACGAGAGGGATGAACGTTCGATGGAACGAACGTTGGAATTCGACGAACGATCGAATGCGGTATATGTATATATATATACACACACACGCGCGCGCGCAGATACGCATCCATGTGTATAGATATATACGGGTAAATAAATAAATAAAAAAATATATATATAGAGAATAAAAAGAATTTTAGATGCGCGATGGGTGCACGTTTTAAAAAATTGACGGATAAAAGAGAGGATCGTAAAAAGATGATATAGAAGAGAATTATAGGAAGGGAGATCGGTTTTAAAACGCTGTATTATCGAAAAATTGCGCACGCGTGCGCAATTGCGGAAGCGTGGGCGCTAATGCTGCGATATGCACGGAAACGAAGGGAGTGAGAATAGAGACGCGAGAATTTCGACCCGTAAACGAACGTTAAAGAGAAAATTCGAGAAAGGAACGAACGTAAGGAGGAAGAAACGAAAGGGAGGATAGAAAGGAATGGGAACGGAAGAAGGAAACGGCGAGGGAGGAAAGGAAGAGAAAGAAACTTTTTTTTTTTTTTTAGAACGTGAAGAATGAAATCGACGCGTGTGCCGGACTCGAGCGTCGACCACATTCACTTGCATATATATATAGGTGACATTGAAATTTGTACAGTTATTAATTATAAATGAATTTACTAATTAAAGGAGGAAATAATTATATATTATAAATATATACATAACTGAAGTAACATGTGCCCCCCCTGCCCCCCTGCCCCCCGGTTGTAATATGTATATATATATATATATACACACACACAAGCGAGCGTTTTAATTGGAAACGAAATTTGGGACGATAATTATTCTCGTGTGTGTTGTGCCGTGTTCTACTCTGGTGTGTGCGCTACTGGAATGAGAAGATTGGAAGAAAGAAAAAAAAAAGGAAGGGAGACGAAGAGCGGGGGGAGAAAATGCAAGAACGGGATAAATTACGCTTGACAACAAACACGGGGAAATGGCGAGTGCGTGTGTGCGTGTGTATGTGTGTGTATGTGTGTGATGAACGCGAGAGTATAAGTATATGCGAACGATAGTGGTGAGGGATTATATATATATATATATATATATATGTTTATATATATATATATACATATATATATGAAAGAAGGTATGTATGTATATATAAATATACAAATAGAAAAAAAAATATAGATACCTACGAGTGGATCGGACGGTTGTTGTTCATCGTGACACGGCTCGATGACACACGGTCAGATCCCTCGTCCCCCACCCGATCCGACTCCACACTCATGAAAAATGATACACACACACACACACACACACACATAACATCTGACCACAAGCACATACACACACATGCATACACACAAGTCATACAAAAGAAAGAAACAGAGGCGCGCATGAAACGAGCGTTATTACCTGAGCCCGCCACCGCCTTCTCGCGCATCTCAAGGAAAAAGAAGAAAAAGAAAAAAAAAAAAAGAAAAGAATTGGAAACAGGCAAAGCGGAGAGTGGAAACACGAGAGATCTAAGTTTACACGCATCTCGTGCGTGTGAAATAGTTAATCGGGGCCATGGCAAGCGCGAAAAGGATGGAAAGAAACATCGAAAATTGGCAAGACTCCATGCAAAAGACTCTCTCTCTTTTCCCATCGTTTCGTTCCTTCCGTGGAGGAAGGTGAAAGGGCGAAGGTAATAAACGAAGAATTCTGTGGACCAGATAGATCCTCGGCGAACGATGGAGGATGAATCGGGAAAGGCGAGCGACAACGAAGAAAAATCGTAATTGGAACGAAGTGGTTGGTTTCTTTCGTTCTTTCTTGCTTTCCTGCCATCCCTCTTGTCCTTCCTTTCTTAAATTAATCAAAGCATAGCGAAATATATTTTCTCGTATCTTGTTACTTTATAGATGTATGTATATATATATATATATAAAGAGAAATTTAATAGCGATAATTCTTCTTTCCTTCGGTCTTCTTTTATCGGTTCTTCGCCCGGTTTGATTAATTAAAATATCTTATTTATTAGGAAGAAATAGATTATTTCTAAATCGTTTGGAAAACTTACACGGGCTTTCTAATTTCTTTACAAAGGATAAAAGTAGCGTGGAATTTTTCCGAAAAATGAAGAAACGATATTTATTTTAGATATTTTAATTTTTAAGAGGGGCAGTGAATAAAATTTCAGACGTTAAATGTTCATCTTCTTTAAGCGTTAATTTCGTTCAGTTTCTTTTTTTTTTATTTCCTTCTTCTTCTATTCGCTTCGATTCGAGACGAATTGGCCCGTTGAATCCCTTCGATTTCACCATCGAAAAAGAAGAGAAGCTCGTTGGCTCGATTTCTGCATCAAAATGGGGAAGAGAGGAGGAGGAGGGGGGCTGGGGGTGGATGAAATTCTCGAGGATCGTAATCGAACGACGCCGCATCGACGTGCCTCGAGCAAGGGGAGAGAAGATCGGAAACCAACGAGTTCTCGAGTATTGCCAACGATGCAAGATCAACTGTATCTTCGTTGAAATTTTCTCGTTTTCTCCCGAGAGAACAAGGTTGGAAACGAGATGGAATTTCTTGCGGAGGACGCCACCCCGGCGAAACTGTCGATCGGTGCTCGAGAATCGATCCAAGTTCCGCAGGGGTCCTCGGAAACGATGCAGCTCGTGAATGTAATCGTTGTGTATATTCGGCGTGGAACGAGTCTTGAAAACTATCCTTGAATCTTATCGTCTAATAAAAGATCGCGAAGATGCAATGGGCCACTTCGATCTCTCACTTTTCCCTCTACTTTTCGTTTCCTTTTAACCTTTTGTCTTCTTCCCTTTTCCAACAATTCAAAAGCCTCGCTTCAATTTTCCAAAGGGTTAAAGAAAAACGTTTTTCAATTAACAGAAATTCTGGAACGAGATAAGAGAAACGGGAAAGCGGAGCGAACGAATACGAAGAAAACCGCGCGAAAATTCAAAATCGCTTGGCCCGATCATTATCCAACGTTCGAATAGAACATTCAAAAAAAAAAAAGGGGGGATTAAAGAACAAAAAAAAAAAAAAAAGAATGAGAGAGGCTTCGAAGAAAAAAAAATAAATAAAAGGGAAACGAATGAAACGTAGAACAAAACGAGACAAATTTTATCGATATTTTCAATACGCCCGCATACACGCAAAAATCTTGTATAAAAATTTTAATGTAAACACACTGCTCTTGCCGTGAACCGTGGCGTTAAGAGGAAGAGAAAGAGAGAGAGAGAGAGAAGAGAAAAAGAGAAAAAAAGAATCGATGGCATTATTTTCTGTTCATTCGCTCTCGAGACAAGATCGTTCGAGTATCGATCGAGAAATCGTTTTTTTCCGCTTCCGGGAGACAAACGACGACGCGAAACGACGACTCGATCTTTTCCTCGGCGCCACGGTGTAGCGGCGTATTAGTATACTGAAACAAAGAAAGAAAAAAAAAAAAAACGATAACCCACGTATACCGAAAGACTCAGGTGCGAGAGAAGTCAGTTATTAAGGTCCTAGTTAAATTTGGAGAAAATTCCCGACACTCGTCGAGATCCCAATCGCGACCGATTTCCTGATCGGTGAGCGAGCACGCGTGCGTTGCTCCTCTTCACGAGAGCGTTGCGATCGATCGTGCGATCCTCCGTCCTTGAAAATATCGAAATTCCGAAAAAACTCGAGTTCCGAATCTCGCTCGAAAAGCCAAAAAGAAGAAAAAGAAAATAAGGGTAAAGAAAAAGAAAAAATAGAAAAATGAACGTACGAAAAAAATATTTTCAACACCCCCTCCTAGATTGAAATTTCTCAAACGACCTGGTTACCTGGATACACGGTATACGAGAGAAAAAAGAAAAAAAGAAAAAAAAAAAAAAAAAAAGAAAAAAAAGAAGAAAAATAGTAGAATTTCGCGCGCGCGTTCGAAATCGTCCCGGGGGCTACGACGCGTTTTTTAACGTTTTAAACGCGACCGAGTTTTACCGATGCTTTTTAGTCAGGCGTTTTTACACGGGGACCCAGAATTTTTACAGTTTTACCGAATGAACCAATTGAATCTCGTTCCCAGAAAACTGGTTTTTTATCAGAAATGTGCATGTATATATATATATATAAAACAGGATATATATATATATATTCACTCGTTGGTGAATTTTGAAAGTAAGAACGTACCCTAAAAAATATAGCGATCTGACCATGTATCCAACCACGATATCAAGATGACGACACCATTTTTACGACACACGCGAATATCTATTCGTAGCAAGAGATCGCAACAGATTGTTACCAGACAGATCATCATCGATATCGTGTATCTTCTTTCAAATTGACCGACTGAGAGAGAATAAAAACCTGTACCACGTTTAGGCAATAAGGGACGATCCTTACACGCTACGCACGGTGAACAATCTTGTTAATTATCGATTATCGTATAAGAGACAATCATATGAAAACAAGAGCAAGATCGCGGCGAGATTTCGAAGCGCGAGTTCGGGAACGATCTTAAAATTAGGCGGCGCATTTTTACGAATTCTATTTGTTGAACGATATATTGTTTAATTTTGTTGACAAGGCCGCCTCTCGATCGATCATTCTCGATCCCGAGAATTCGAGTTTCGTCGTCGTTCGCGCATACGAGAGAAATTTCAACGAACGGAGGAGAGGGGAAACAAAAAAAAAAAAAAAAAAAAANAAAAAAAAAAAAAAAAGAAAAAAAGAAAAAAAAGAAAGAAAGAAAGAAAGAGAGAAAAAATCAATTTCTAAAAATTCTAATCTCTGACCTAAGCTTACCTCGGCGGGTAAAGAACAGAAATTAAAGAAATTATTTTGGACCGTCACTTCTTTCTGCGCTTTCTTCTTTATCCTCATATATATATATTGTGCAAACCGTGATGAATCGATCGTATTATTATTTTTCCAACGGCAAACGAAGATCGGTTGCATCGGAAAGGGATATTATCGTCGTTGCGTCGATCGCGTGTCCGGTTCATTTCTCCGTGGCCACACGATTGAGCTCGAGCTTTCGTCCACGGTGGACGAAACTTGTACGAGCGCACGGCTCCGTCTTTTTTACCCCGCTCGCTGACACACGCTCCATCCCCGAGAGTCGGAGAACGCGATCAATATTTTCGTGGAAATGCCCGGTGACGCGTTACGCGGCGAAGAAAAGAGGGAAACGGGAAGAGGAACGGGGGAGGGGAGGGGGGAAGAGAGAAAGAGGGAACATGGAAAAAGAAAAGGAAAGAAAAGAAAAAGGAATAAAAAAAAAAAAGAAAAATAAAAGCAGGATCGCACGAACGATTAACGAGAAGAGCCTATACAAAAGGGCGCGAGATGTATAGGCGCGTGGAAAGGAAAGGAACAAAAAAAAGAAAAAAAGAGAGAAAGAAAGAAAGGGAAAAAAAAAAGATGGAAAGAGGGAATATACAGCGGTTTCCGGCAGCGGTTTCGCGGAAAGAGAGTGATGTGAAGATGGCGGCGTACGTTTATTGGCTGTTCGTTTTTCTAAATGAGTTCACCCGATTGAATGAATCATCGCCTTAAAAATGTATACGAAGTAACAGTAAGGTATCTAAGTAATAATCATATTAGAGGGTAAAGAAACTTAAAAAAACAAAGATTTTATGAGCGACGACGAGAGAGCGGCTATGGGGCAATGAGAGAGTGAAAAAGTATGCATGTGTGTGTGTGTGTGTGTAAGAGAGAGAGAGAGAGGGAGAGGGAGAGAGGGAGGGAGTGAGA